CAAGTTTTCTTTGTAAGAAATACATTTAAAAATGCCTTTTACATGTGTCATTTAGATAGTTTAGCATTGATTGCTCTAATGACATTCTTTGAAATGTAACTCTAATCAGCCATAGCGTCAGATAAATGGATATACAGAGAAACTCTAATGTGTGACGTGAGCTTTGATTTTTATTTTCCACCCTGATAATTAAATGGCAATAATAAATATCTTGTACCTGTCAGAGGTATATCTGGATCATCAGAAGTAAATACAATTTTTTTTCTCATCATGCTTCATTGCATGGTATTGTTTTACAAACCACTCCTTCACAAAGTAGTTTCCGATTGTATTTTTGGGAACTTACTCTTTAAAATGAAATCTGATGAGAACCCAGTTTTGTTTTCTCATGTATCAACAAAGCAGCACTTTGAATATACTAAACTAATTGATCCATTTCCCCTCTACAGTGCCAAGGTTACAAAAATATTATCCTTGTTTTATTTCTAAATCATTTAAGGTGTCTCTTTCTGTTTTCAAGATTATGCAATATTAGGCAGCTTGACATACTGATCAAACTTTCCTATTTTTCCATGAATCTGAGAACTAGCACCACCTTTTTAAACTGTTTGTTTTGTGGATTTGTTAAACGATCTGATTTATTTACATCTCACATCTTTCCTTTCACAAACACATTACAAAGATTGTGCTAGACTACATATATCAAAAGCTTATTAACACTCTTCAATGATCAATAGAAATTTCTGTTTATACCTGTAATTTATTTTCAACTGGCAGATTTATTGAATAAGCCTGGGGAAAAAAATACAGCATTGCTTCAAAGTTATTCTTTTTTATTTCCATTCAAAAGTACCTTTCTAATAGTTTCTAAATTCTGAAGCCATGGAGAGGAAGCACTTGTAAACAGCTTGTTTCTCAACAACATTACATAACGAACATTTTACTTCAGGGAGATTTACAACTTCATTTGGCGTCTTCCTATCATGTTCAAGAACATCAAATTCATTAAGATTAAGACCCACATCCTTTTATTGCACAAAATGACACCTTAGATCAGTCCTCATTAAAATCACCTAAAATCTTATCTCCATGACCCCAAAACACCTCTCTCACTTTGAAGGGACTGAAACAAATGCCCAAGATCATGCAAGAAATTTGATACTTTATAGCTTGTTCCTTTCTAATATGTCTTTCCCAAAAGTCCAAAACAACAATTGGGCTTTTAGGTTTAAAATATTCTAAAATGAGAAATTTAAATACCCTGCTTTACAATATAATTAGAATGAAAGAAATGTTTCATGCAGCATATTTCAAACATGACTGTATATATATAATGAATATTTAAAAAAAAAAAAAAAGGAAATCCAATTTTTTCAAATGCAATGAATTTAGGGGTAAACATTTTGAATACATTATGTAGCATTTTGAACACATTATATAGCATGTGAATGTAGCACTCTTTAGCTAAGATGCACATAAAGCATGCACTTGGCATAGCAGTAAGTACTAATAATTCAAAAAAATAATGAATGCACTTCAGAGGAGAGTGCAATACCATCAGCAAGCTACCACTTCAAAAACAAATGATAAATATCGGTAGGAAGGTATTTCCTTTCAGTAATACAACCATTATTGTGGCCACTTGTCCAGATATCAGACACACACCACAAGTAAGAAATAACAAACTGGTGCTCGAGTCTTTGACTGTCCATTAACACTTAGACATAGAATATTAACACATAAGAACAGAACATATTTATATTTACTGGTCTTGCCATGCGATGTATGGAGTTAATTTTTGTCCAATACATGACCATGAGTAAGGGTGTCTTTGATAAGCTGACTGTGAAATACATTGTATTTTGACAGGCAGGGGGCTATAAATTAAACTGAGGAAACCCCACCATAAAAATCACTAAATCCTCCATAAACCTGCTAACAGTACTTATTATCAACTGGCCATGTTGGACAATGGCTATAGCTTTCCTTTATCATCTGTCCCACTTACAAGTGTCTTATCTCTTCTCTTATATCAGTTAATATCCATCTAATTATGCAATTTTTCTTCACAAAGAACATCGTTCCATAGTGTTCAATGACATATAAACAGATTAATAGATTGTAAAATCTAGTAAAACCATTTTCAGTTAGTGCATGTTGATAAATTTATATGCAAGTGAGATTGTTTAATGGTTTCAGAAGTATAGCTGATGTCTAGATGCTTTTGGACTTCTTTGACAACTGTAATATACTGTGTGTGAAATGGGTTATGAAGTAATACTACACACAGGTATACCCCACTTAATATGCAGAAAAGCCAAATAAAATGAAGTGTGATTGATCACTTCAAAATATATTGTGTATCATAAATGCCATGTCAAAAATCCACTTCAATAAACACAGAGTTGGGCATCAATAAGTTTATAGACTTTCAGGTCCATGATTATGAACTATTTCATAATCTTTGTGTTTATACAAGCATACACACCATCGATAATAGCAATCAACTTTTGTATTTACACCTTATATTCAGCACAGGAACTTAACTCCATTTTAATGGCTTCCTCTGTTTTCAACATCTCAATTTTCACTCAATTTTCCAATTGACTGGACAAAACTAATGGCCTCAGAACTCCACCTCTGTGGCCACTGCTTTCCACCTTCTATAGGCCAGGTAATTTATGTTGGTCATCGTCATTTCACTAAACCTGCCCCAAGGTAAGGAACTGTCCATATAGAAAAACAAGTGATGATATCTTTGTGGTCCATTTCACTTAGTGAACCCACATTGAATAATGAAAGGATTTGCATGCATCAGAGTAATTAGAACTCTTGAAAGACATGGGCATTTCTAGGCCCCCTCATTGGGAGTGGAAATTGAAAACACTCCAGAATTTCAGCTGTAGTTTACTTACAGGCCAAATTTTTGCCACACACAGTCATGATAGTGTATCAAACTTGATACAATGGTTTCCTATATATTCTTCCAACAATAACAAAGACATCTATATAGGTTTACATAATATGGTGTGCATTTCAATTAATCTTCATCTGAAAGGATAAGAACTTTCCCTTGCAGCCATCAACTGTTATAGTTCATTCTGTTTATAAACACTTTACTTACTAAATGTATCTATTGAATGTTTCATCTGTAAATTTAAAGTGTAACTGATTTTGTTTTGACACAGTTTATCCAATCTTGACAATGACCTAATGCCCTTTGCTAATCATGTGTAGGGAGTTCATTATGCATTGTACACATCTTTAATTTCTCAGAAGGGAATACAAGTATCCTACTGATGCCCTGGCAATCAAACAACAATTTAGCCGATATGATAGATGACCATAGAACTATATCTGATAAGGCTTGACCCCCAGTGCAGTGAGAAATCACCTGAACTAAAACACCATGTCAAAGCCTCTGTCAAAATGATTAATTCAACTGGAGTTCCCTCAAATGATGTTTCTATTCCAATCTCACAAAAACATAATTAAGATCTTTGATTTTTTAGGCAGATAATTTCATTTCAAATTTCTGTGTTTGATTCAAAATTATAAAAACGATGGTGAAACCCACCAACTAAGATTTTATTTTTTGGAATTTGAGATACTTTAAATGGACCACAACAATTTTTTTTCATTCACTTGCTATGAAAGTTTTCTATTAGTAATGGAGCTATCATCACACAAAAGCAGTTAAAAGACCATCATGAATTCCAGTTTCAAGTTGTAGTCCACTGGGTGCATCAAGACCGGTTATGTGTTCCAGCACTCAGGCGGAATGATTCCTTGGCTGAATTTAGAGCAGAAGGCTACAATTGTTGGTGAATTTAAAGAAGGATAATTACCATAATTATACTACATTGTCTACTCTTGTTTATTCAGTAATTGCAGGCACTGACAACTGAAATATGAAATTGCTACCTAAGACACCATCAAATTCACCAATATTAGTCGTTGTTGGACTGCAAACAACATCTTTTTTATGAATTTTAAATTACACCTTTACTATCTTACACAACATGTTTCTAGATTGTAATATACTCAGATTTGAAACCGTTTTATTTTTTAAGACTATCAATTTTTTTCCATTATTCAATTTAAACTAAACACCTTTTTTGTACACTTTTAAGAGTTTATATCCATTAATATAATTAAAGCTGTACATGTACATTTACATGTAATAGGGATAATCCACAATTATGATTAGATGGAAAATTCTACTTATTGCGTACACTTTACAACTTACAGTATTTCGTATTTAATTAAGGAAATTGAAGCCTTATTTCTCATTCACTTAAATAAAATTAGAATAATAAATAAATGTAATATAAATGCAAAAATCAACATTTTCAAAAAAAAAAAATTAAGTTCTTATTTTTTTTCATTTTCAATTCAATTTAGAAAATAAAGATATACTTTTCAATTAAAATATACATGTACTTCAATTTATATATTGCTAGTAATTCCAAATTTAAAGAAAAAAGTATTTATGACAGAGATCTAATGCATAGTTTATTCTGATATTATTGTTTAGTGTGATTTCTCAAGTATTGGCAAGAGTTTGTGATTTGATAAAATATATCCCAAAGAAAAACACATTTCTGTATGTGTTACTGAATACTACAAATCCTTATAAGTTTCGCATGAAAGCTTTTAATATTGGAATTCTTTCGAGTTGAGTAAATCCCTTCTGTCAACAAATCCCGAAAGCCGACAACGAAAAAAATACAAATGACAGATCAATCTGTGTTTAAAGTGTCCCTCAAATATTCTCTCAAATTCAAAATACATTTTAGAATAAATTTTTAAAATCAGCGAGTCTAATATTTATATTTTAAAATGTCCTTTTTGTTTGTTGTCCCCACGATTAGAGAGAGCTCATTCGACCACTCATTGCCAAAATCTTTGGATAATCAACACAAGTTTTTGTAAAGATATGCAAATCTACATGTATAAGCGTAATAATTGACATCATAAGTGAATTCAACTAATCTTACCTTCTCTAGCGCATAGTCCTATTGTAGATAAACAACTTAAAACAATAAAATACGGAGCCACTGAAAAAACCGTCCGTCTCCTCGCCATGTTTCACTTTCTGCTACTAAAGTTAGCGCATGCGCTGTTGTATTTGTATACATAGGAATGAAGTGCAACACCTCCGTTTACTTGCTTTGATCAACCGCGTCTGTGATATATAGAAAAGCTATTGAACGACAAAGTATTTCATAGTAACATCCTATACGATACTTCCAAGATTTTCTCGAAGAGATTACAATAAAAAAACAAAACTGTCTTAAGCAGTTAGCAAGAATGATACAAGAGTAGCCTCCCTTCTGTCATTTTTCTACCTGGCGAAAAGGTGTGAAAATGAAATAGCACGTCTATTTTTTTTTTCAAGCCTTGAGGGATTTTTTTTTTATTTTGAAGTGATGTGTTAAAAACTCCTTTAAGCTAAACAAAATTTATTTACGATACTATATCTTTACTGTCTCTGATTATGTATATTATAGCATTCACTGGGGGTTTTAATCAAGTTCCACAATACTCAGTTAAAATTTTTGCCTTATAAAATAATCTAATTTAAAATTCTAGAATTTTTTTTATATATAGAATATCATGGCAAATTTAGTTGGTGTAAATCTTAAGCCATGAACATATGTGTTTTCTACAAATTTGTGTTTATGACAGACAAATTGAAAAATATTTTCATTACTTGGAAAAAATATGAATAGATTATACTTGTATACAAATAAACAATCAAATGTAAAGACGATCTATGGAAAATCGATCCAGCTGTAAAGAAAGACGTGCGATGCAGGTGCTTCTTTTGTGATGTCATAATGTATGACCGTAATATGTAAAATGACGTTACATGTACAGTATTTAAATTGTAATTAATTGTAACAATAAATTAATTGCCTATATATAACATGGCGGTAAGAAACGGAGGAGGGATGTGCCCCCTCCGCAAATAATTTTTCCGATATACAGTATACAATAGGAAACATATTTACTTTATGAATGTGTCCCATCAACGCGTCTGATGACTTTTTTTCTCTTTTGCTTGTCAAGGGACTTTTACTTGGTAGCCCCCCCCCAGGCCCCCTCCCTCTCCCCAACTTAAATTGCTTCCTACGGGTTCTGCAAATGCACAGATCTTATTCATTTAATAGAGTCTACGTTATCCTCGGATTATTATCAAACTTTCAGTTCATAGTACTTGATTTGATTTTCGTGGAAATTTATTCCCAGACCCCGCGAATTGCCATCGTTCACAAGAATTACATTTAACGAATTTTTTCTAAAATGTGAAATCAATTTAATATTCTGCAAATGAAGATACATGTAGGTTGCGGATGATTTATATATAAAAACTCAAGCATGATTTAAAGGTGGTAGGTTTAACATTTTGCACAAACACTCTTGGATTTTTATAAAATTTCAAGGTAAAAAAAAAAAATTTTGATCATATATCATATAAATTATGTCATACAATATTGGATATCTATATGAAGATAGTGATTTATAAATATTTTTCAACACGCAATCAAGATAACAAGCTTTTTATATAATTTATGAATCGAAAAATACTTTGTATTGAGGCAAGAGAACACATGTACTATGTAATAAATCTATGTAAATTGTAATTTCTATGTAAATGAAGTCATATGTTTTAGAGCATAGGTGTCGATGCTTATTTTCAATCTTCGAACAGCTTGGAGCAAACGAGAAAATCAAGTATGAAACAGGGGATAATGAATTTTAACTAAGATAAAATCAATAGATTCGTAGATCACAAGGTTTCTTACGAGGATGGCTCTTTCATTTATCACGTGCATCAGTATTCGACACGCGGCTATTACAACACAATTTCTGTGTCTAATCAAGTTCATCACGTGCCGTGGAAATCGAGATTTTCACGCATGGTTGATTCTAGGCACTGGTCTTGCCACTTTCCGTTCAGATTGTCTTCGATAAAGTTAAACTGTATCGAATTAATTGTGTTAATGTCTCGACCCATTCCAGACAATACGTTTTTTCCTTCTTGCACTCCATAGGATATAAGCCCAATATTATAATTTCGTTATTTTCTTTTTTAGAGCAAATAACTGCAAATTTCAAATAGTCATCTTCAAGCAGTTTTTTTTCTACAAATAAACATTCTCAGTAAAAATAAATGCAGTTTCTTATAGTGACTCGGAAGATATTTTTGAAAGAAAACAACATATGTGAAGACGGACCTTTGTTAAAATTAGCCATAATTAACGCGTAACTTGTGAGAAAAAACCAAGTGTATTTGTACGAACTATCGATAACACCCATCAGCGGAAATGGCGATGCTTATAAAAATATTCTGAATCAAAAAGATCGAAGACTGAATTTCTGTTGGGTCATAAATCGTAAAGAACTGTCGATTTTTATGACTTGCTTCACATTTTTGCCGTTGGACCGTCAGTCGTCTGGGTGATAAAGTCGAGATTTAATGCATCCGTGCTGTGGCCATTTCGTGGTCAGCTGGACAGTGCTATGAAATTTTCTGGTGCACTGATGTAGCTAACTTAGTGATTTATGAAAATGGATTTTGCCACTGCTGTTTGTGATGAAAAGATTAGAGTACTCGATGTCAAAGCATAAAAACATGTCCCCTTATCATGGGAATTTGTTTATACTCCTCTAGAAAAAACGTATAAGAAATATTTGATACTTTCTATCTTTTCGAATTATACGAGTATACCGGTATGTCTATTTATTTCATTACATAAACTGATTAAAATGTAATTTCCACATTTCCTGGTATTTTGGAAGTTGAGACAGTATTTGGAGAGACTCGTCACTCGTTCTTTTAATTGAACTAAAGTGCTGGAGAATAAGCAGAATTATTCGCCTCTTACATATTCCTTAGTAAAATCCTCGCAAAAATAAGAAGTCATGTAACAGTAAAATATGCTGTTTTTTAAGCAAGTGTTTGTTATACATACAACAAATATGATTTTATGCATTTTTGGAGTAAAAAAAATATGAATGGTAAAGATAAATACGAATTTTTGTTTTTTAAAAAAGGTTCACTATAAATTTATTCGGTTCCAAGTATTTCAAAAATATGAATTAAACATTCCTCTACAAATTCAAATCTTCATTTATATTTATTGTTTGACATGCAAACATGAAAAGAATTTTAGGACACGTAACCAAAATATCAAGCTTTCACGTTAGAAAGTGTTTCGTACCCAAGTTCAGCAACAACACGAGTTTTCTACTTCCTGGGTAAAATATTTTCTGGTTATTTGATACTAAATTCACGAAAAACGTAAATAAACAGAGATTTTACATAAAGAAAAAATGTGATCGAGCTGAACCGTACAAAATACCAATTTATTATTTCTTTCCTTAACAAAAGTCCTTAATCGAACTTTCTGGTGGTTTCTTAACGTCATAAGTTTCTCACAGATCACTTAACAAAGGGCACCAAAATTGTCAACAGAAGCCGACCACTAATCCATGTGGTTGATACGAGACATGAAGACATACTATCCAGTTTCATATGATTATCTTTACTGGTAAATGGAATAATGGTGTGTCCCGATACTGATACCTTGGCTCACAAAGACATACAAATGTGTTGACAACATCAGCGGACAGTTACAATGCACAGAAATCAATTATTTCTGAAAGCGATCCCACAACATCCAGCATCAAGTTCGCATTATTTGGTCAATTTAAAGATTTTCTTAATCACTAGATTTGAGATGTGGTTCATTTCGATTACTTACATTGATGTGTATTAAAGTACAATAATAGCAATGTTTTATTCAATAAATCAAAGCTTTCTTCAATTTATCTAAGCCTTTTTCAAGTTAAGAATTTAAGTTTGTTAGTTCATGGTAACTATTATGCATTGATATTATTTTCAAAAATGAATTTTATTCTTATTAACAAAATCTACAAAGTTTGCGCGGGAACAAAGAACTAGACCTTTGCCACATGGTAGATATCAATCCGTCGATTCTGTAGGATATGGGCAATATCAATTTCTACCGCTAGAAAAACGTGAATAAACAAAATTGAAACATGAATCATGTTAAACAGACATTTCTTCCAGAATCCGCTATTTCTTTACCAGTGTCTTCTTCTCAACAGTTGCGAACCATTAATTAGAAATTTATCATATTTACTTGAATTTTTCAACACCAATCTACCAGTCATCAAAGCATTGCAATGTCCGACTGAAAAATTATGGCCAGCTGGCCCGTGTTTTTCAACAGGGAAACGTTACTGGATGAATTTTAAAACATCTGAGAAGTATTTCGGTGGTTCAATGTTAGTATTCGTGTTAGGCTGTTTATATTATATTTCTCATAACGGACCATAAATTACGAGAAACCCGATAAAAAGTTAAATATTCCGTATCGCCCAGCTTTTCCCCATATTTTTTTTCGTTTAAAATTCAAGGACGACCAAATGTACATTTTAACATCAAATATATGCATGTAAGTTAAACCAATATCAATGCCACTCATTATGTGTGTGGGAGGGGGGGGTATACATTGAATTATCTACATAAGAAATACAGTCTAAATATATGGAGACCTTCGTAGTATGTAAAATAACATATATACATACACATCAAATAATTGTGTTCTAATATTACAGTGTTTTTCGTGAGGGAGAGTGTACTCTTTATCAGTATTTGTCTGCCCGCATGTTGCATTCGCTTTAGATTTCTCACATTTACAAAAAATATAAATCATAAAAATCAATTATCAAAAGTTAGTTTTGCGAGCTTTAAGTATATACTACATGTATATAAGTAAATCACGTAAGTGAATTGTCTCGTGGAAAAAGTATTCCAGTAAATCATTGAATTCTGAACCCATCTTTTGTCTCAGTCGCCGAAAGCGTGTTTTCTTTCCATCGAACAGAGTATTTTGATTTTCTAAAGAGTAAAAGATTATGCTATAAGACCACCTTTCCAAAAAGTCCAGTTAACAAAATACATGTAACGTATAGAATAATGATAAAAAAGGAAAAAAACCAATGAGATCAAAATATTCCAAAATAGAATAATACTGGGTGCATTCACCTTTTAAGGTTATAATTGAATTAACAACTTC